CCCCAAAATAATTTTTTTTCAAATACCGTCATTTTGTGTAGATTTTTCCAACATACGTAATTATAGACTGTGAAATAAAGTGCCGTTTTACAATGATTTTACAACGTAGATTTTATGTCAAATTGATTCACCCCTGGTGCGCACGTCCTCGTTGTACTTTTTGCTAACCTTTATCATTGCACTCAAGATCTAATTTGTTACCTGCGTTTTTGTCTTTATGTGACATTTGATTAAGCCATTAAAGCAGTTGAAAGAACATGTTCTTTTTCTTTTTCTTAGCCCAGAGACGCTGTGTGTTTTCACAATATTAATATTACATTTATTACTCGCGTGGGTTTATAACAACCTAATAATCTGATTATGCAAGCTGTAAATTCTTCCTCATTTACTAAACGTGAATGCTTTTTGCAGCTATATTCAATTTCCGTATGACGTTTTAGGGGATAGAATTCTATATTATATTTGCATTAAAGAGATGAACATTTGCGTGCTTTTGTACAAAAATTGGCCGTGTTATCCTGTAACATAATTATTTTTCTGTCTTGGGAAGCACTAGAATAGACATGTTTCTGCACAGTGCACATATGTGAAGTGGTGTGAGAAACTGGGGAACAAACCGCGATCCACCGCAATGTACACAAAAAATAGTCATGTTGCAAGATTTCTAGCTACTCAGCTCAATTTTTTAAAAGTAGTTTAACTCCTTCACTTCTAGGTCAAACACAGTATATATATATTTTTGTAGGGTTACAGGGCAGAGGTGGCATTGGAAGGGTTAAACATATCTAATCCGGTAGGCGATAAGGCACTTTCTTTTATTTGCATACGTGTTGTCTCAACGCCTCCTCTTTTACAACTCAGATCAAACTCGTAATGGTAGGTTGTTGGCGGATGCTCTGCTGTGGTTTGCTTCTTCTTTCCCATCAAACATCTATCGTCTTTATCTCCCCTTCTTCCTTTTTTATGTTAATTACTTTCTTGTAACACCTCTAATCTTCTAGCGCTCATATGACCTTACGCAGTTGCGAGCGCCGTAAAAGCTCTACTAAAACTAAAACCAAAATTCGTAATTAGATGTACTTTTTTTTCATCCCTTTCTGCAGGAGGACACGGGTCTGCTCCTGGACTGCAGCAACAAAGTGTGTGGTCCCATCATGGCGGGCATGTGTGCTATGGAGAAGCTCGTCTGGCTGGGCCACAACTGCCGTCAGTACGACATGGTGCAGAAAATGTGGGCTCCGCACGGCGCTCTCTAAGCGCACCGGAAACAAGAACACAGCTCACTGTCTCATCTTTGGGCAGCCCAGACGCAGACTGGATTCCATGTTTTAGTTTTTGTTTTATGGGGAGGTTGGGTGTGAGAGTGAGGTGGCGGGGTAGGCCACGTTTTTGGGTGGTGTGCCATGTGAACAAAATGGAGCAACAAAAATTATTTTGGGTTTGAGAATTGTGGAAAAATTACGAACAAAAAATATAGCTCCAAAGATACCTTTTTTTTTTTTACAAAAATCAAGTTAAGAAATCTTGTAGGATTTTTAAAAATGAGAATAAGCTTTCACAACACTCTAGGCACATTGTCCAACTCCAGTAAACTTTCTGAAAAATATTTGAACTTGCTGATCTAAGTTCCACATTGGTTCTGGGCTAGCTAATGTGGGGTGGAATTGTCGGAGAACTTGAAACTCTTTATAAAAAATTGTTCTCATATATTTGCGACAGAAAGAAAGCGAAAGAAATATGTTTTCAGGTTTCTCTTGTTTATAAAGGTATTTTTTTATGGGAGGAGGTCGTTCGGTTTGTTGAATGTATCATTTTTAAGCAGTCTTGTTTCGACTTACTGTCTTTTAAAAGCACAACGATGTACACTAATAAAGTAGACCTTGTAACGGACCTGAATTTGGGAACAGAGAAATGGTAATACATTTTCGAAGAGGAATATTGCACCAAGGAGCCCGTCTGTTCTCTGTTGTAGAAAGTTGTTTCACAGGCAAGACGTGTGTGCAAAGATAAGAACACTCGCAGCAAAAGGGAAGAAGTACGAATCGTGTAGAAGAACCCAAGGGCGATTTCTTAATGTCCTGTCGTATCCAAGCTCATCAGTGGGAGCTGTTAGAAAAGAGCAAACTGTTCAGCAAGGCAATAGGACGAGACATATAAACTTTATTTAGCTTGTAAACATATCGTTTCATTGAGCTTTTTGTGACAGCATAATATATCTTCGTACGTAACTATTAATAAAAAAAGGGGTTTAAGATGGAATCATTAAAAGATCTAGTTGTCTGCTTCTGTTGTTCAATTCATTAAACTCTTTGGAAAAACAATCAATTTGTTTGTGTAAATCATTCCATATTCTCGTTTCACTATACGGCTCGGCTTAATCATACACAATATTATTCTTTGATGTGTCTGTGGTGATGGATGGAGTCTTACTTTGATTTTGTTTTTTCTTTTTGTGGGTTGCTGTTCTGTTTGCTTTCGTGCAGACAGTCATGCAAACCCAACAATCTTAATTCTTCTTTTTAAGAAAAATCTACCTGATCAGGAAAATGCTATTCTAAAACCAAACACTTTTTATACTTTATTCATCATGGTTTATACTTTTCTTTTGTTTATAAAAAAAAAAACATTATCATCAATCAAAAACATGAAAATATTCCATTATTGTTTCAATAAAGGCGAGCGTTAAGTCGATGGTGGCTAAACAGGAGAAATACAAAGCTTCAAGAATACAGAAGTTCGGCGAGAAACAAATAACAGTAAGTCTGAGTGGCACCTAATATTTTACGAATGTTCGTCTTAATAACTATAAAACGTCCGAAAACTGAGAAATGAAATTGCAATCTATCATGGTTTACACCTTTTTTAAATCTATCACGAACTTGAAAAGATCCCGGCATGGTTCGAACAAAGAGGAGAGCAAATGAGAGAGAACAAAACCTCTGGAATACAGAGATTTGGAGAGAAACATTTTAGAACATTTGTTGTCGTGGAATTGGGAAGTATTTTAAAATGTGCAATTAATATTTCTCTTCGTAAAAAAAAAGAACCACTTTGAGTTTGTGTATGTGTGTGTGTGTGTGTGTGT